TCCAACAACTGACCACCTAAAAGCATGGCCGCGTCATTTCCTGGAGAATGAGTTCCAAGATTTAACCATAGTGAATGACTACGACCCAGATACACCTCATGACTGTTTTGAACAGATGAAAATGGAAACAACACATCTACCAACTGTGCATGAAGACCCATTGGTAGATCCCGATCTCACCCTGTTTGTGGGCGGCTCAAGATATGCTGATGAAGAAGGAAGATACCATACAGGATATGCCGTAACCACAACAGATGAAATTATCAAATCATCATCTTTACCATCAACTATGTCTGCACAAGAAGCTGAATTGCAAGCCCTGACTTCAGCATGCAAGATCTCTGAAGGAAAGCGCGCCAATATCTACACGGATTCAAGATATGCACTGGGCGTGGCTCACGACTTCGGATTAATTTGGAAAACAAGAGGATTTCTTACCACCGCCGGTACACCAATCAAGCACGGTTCCGCAATCAAGGAGCTGATGGACGCCCTCCTACTCCCAGAAGAAGTGGCTATTTTGAAGATAAAAGCACATGGGAAGTTGGACTCAGATGAAGCAAGGGGCAACCATCTAGCTGATCAGGCTGCAAAACAAGCTGCAAAAGAACCACAGGAAGTGGAAAGAAGAAACTCCCATATTTACTCTGCAGACTCTTCCAACTGACCTAAAAATCCTGCGGGAACAACAGGCTACAGTTGCCCCTGAAGAAATACAGAAGTGGAAACAGAAAGGGGCAGTTCTGAAGGATGGAGTGTACTCCAACAACCTCAAGTTCTGCCTCCCTAAGAATTTGTACCCAGCAGTCGTACAATGGGCACACGGACCTGCACATTTATCAAAGGATCTAATGAATGCTCTTGTACAAAAATACTACCTCATTGTCCCTATATGAGATTCTATTTGGGACTGCACCTAGGCTAGGTTGCTATTTTCCCCAACAACTACAACTTCAAACTGATGTTTTAGTAGATTATGTAACTGAACTCGCAAATGCTTTAAACAAAATCCATGCCCAAGTTTTCTCTTCAATTCCAGATCCTGATTCTGACACAGGCAACCACAGTCTGCTCCCCGGTGACTGGGTTCTGGTCAAGAAATTTGTGCGAAAACACACCCTGGAACCAAGATTTGACGGACCGTTCCAAGTTCTCCTGATCTCCCCTACCTCTGTCAAATTGGCCGGAAGGCCTAACTGGATCCACGCTTCCCATTGCAAGAAGACACCTGCCCCAGAGGAAGCTAACTCTATGCAACCATGTGCCTCTGGTACATTATCTCCTTAGTTGGCCTCCTTAAAGCCCAGCAGGTGGCCATCACCAAGGATGCTAGTGGGTACACCTTCTGGTATAATTCATCATGTACCCGTGTGGCTACTTATACTTTTGACTACTGTGACATCGTAGAATGCCCATTCCCCACGTCACAGATTCAGAATATCTATAGAGATATCCCTCATTCAAAAGACCCCTATGTTTGTGTAGTTGACAAACAATGGGGGCACAACTGTAACCATTGGGGGGCGGCGGGATGGAATGCCGGGCCTGCCTGGGGTTACAAACCAAAAAGTGTCTTATCTAAAATTGATGATCACGGTAGGTCCCTCCTCCAGAGAATGACTCTGAGAAAGCCCGGAGGAGGCATACCTATGAAATTAATCTTAAACATTGAGCATCCCAGCCCAACGGATGCAGACCAGTATGTAATGGGAATGTACTGGAAGAAGGGTTCCTATAATAAATTAGGACATTTCCACCTTAAAGATATGTGCCACTCTCCTGAGTGGAAAGGGACCACCCACATGGTCTCAAATCCGTTGAAACCACACATCCAATCTTTTAAAGACATGATGGCCATTGCAAATCCAACATTTGAAGATACCATGGCCGCTGAAACAGGTTTCAATGATGTTAATCTATGGTTAGAATGGATGAAATATAATACCAACAAACATAACAGAACCGCATGCTATGTGTGTGGTGGTGCCCGGCCGCACCTGGGCACTGTGCCTTCAACTTTGCCAGTAGATATAGAAGAATGTGTTCTGAGTCTTTTTTGCCTATCACTACAATTTCAATAGGTCCATATGTAAAGCATGGACAGTAGAGTATCCTCTTCTAGTCAAAGATTGCAAACCCCCAGATGGTGTTACCGTCTATAAAGGTAATTATACCTGTTATGCTAATTATGATGGAATTGGTAAATTTGTGGGAAACTTCTCTAAAGGTTATTGTGCCACCTACAGAACTGTCTCTATGAACCTCCTACAATTCCACACTAGATCATTGGGGGATATTTACTGGTTGTGTGGGGATCTACAGCTGAGATCAAGAATGGATAAAGAATGGTGGGGGGAGTGTACTCTGGCTAAAGCAATCATGCCCATACATATTATCTCTGACACACACCCCGATACTCATGAGTCCAAACACTCACCAACCAAGGTAAAGCGTGAAGCCCCAGTAAAAGGCAGTTTTGACCCTCATATTTACATTGATGCCATTGGGGTACCTAGGGGGGTGCCCAATGAGTTTAAAGCCAGGGATGAAGTTGCTGCAGGATTTGAATCACTTTTTACCATAGTCACTGCAAACAAGAATTTAAATTGGATAAATTACATCTACTACAACCAACAACGGTTTGTTAATTACACCAGGGATGCCCTTCAGGGTTTGGCCGAACAGTTGCAGGCTACGTCCCAAATGTCATTCCAAAATAGAATGGCTTTAGATATGATTCTAGCAGAAAAAGGAGGGGTATGTAAAATTCTGCCTGACACCATGACATGTTGTACTTACATCCCAGAAAACACAGGCCCCAATGGTAAAGTAACCTTAGCTATAGGAAAATTGAAAGAGCTCTCTGAGGAGCTAAAGAGGAACTCTGGGATAAAAGATCCCTGGGAGAGATGGTTTGGTTGGATGACAGGATGGCAAAAAGCTTTGATGCATATTGGTATAGCAATACTAATTTTCCTTTTTATCTTTGCTCTTCTCGTTTGTTGTGTCCTCCCTTGTCTGAGAAAGCTCCTCTTGAAGACTGTAGACCAAGCGGCACCCACTTACGCACACCTCACAGTTGATGACCAAGATTTCCAAAAAGTCAACTCGCCCTGTATACCGCTACAATCTATCCCGTTTATTGATAAAGTGCAAGAGTTCTAGGAAGGGACCAGCTTAGGGACAGCATCTGTCTGTCTGGGAAGTCTACCGTGCGGAGATGTGGTGGGTTAGCCACCTCGGGATACCCATGGAGTGAAGTGTTCGAGTGCCCAGCGGACAGATGAGTTAGCCAATTAGGGACAGACGAAGGGACAGCTTTGCACTTTGCAATAACACCTAGCTAGCGGGTCACGGGGTTTCTGTGCCTTTGGGCTAACACGTCTTCTGATACTAACAAATAAAGATTATCTTTTAGAATCTAACATTTCATAGGGGGGACTGATGTAGAATTATTAAAATCTTTATTAGAACCTGTATTGAATTATTGTACTAACTCCATTTTGTTCACCTTACATGACAGAATTTCCTGACAGTATTCAGTATAATGAATAAGAGATTGTATTTTCTCTCTCTAAGGACATAACTAGCCCCGGAGTTAGCGGATCTCCGTTGACTTGCAACATAGTATAATCCAAGGCCAGGAGAACAGTGACAAAATGAAATGTTCTATTCATAAAAGAACCTTGGAACAGACCACGAGACTGACATCACTAACTACGTAAAATGACGCCCAAGCCCCCCTTTCCACCGAGTAAGCCTCGTGCTAAAGAGCAATGGCGACGACATCCCATGATGGGAGGGTGCCTCACTAGTCACTCAAATCTCTGAGCCAATTAATAATATTAATGGGTGGACACTGACATAGCCACTTAACATTTAACCCAATTAATGATGTTTATTTGTTATTATCTGATATTCAATGATGATGTCATTTTGCATATAAAAAGGCCTGCGTGCCCGCTTTTTAACTAGATGCTAATAAATTTCCTGAAGTGTTTTTAACCTGAACTGCATGTGTCAGTGTGAACTTACTTCTGCGTATACGCAATTTATTCATCTCAGATTTGGACAGGAACAGATAGACTTTTAAACATTTTTGTTTATTTCTAAATTAATCTACATCAGAACAAACAATTTGTCCTGAGGTATACCACAGGGCGCCTGAGAGAGAGCCTTCATGATGGTGCCAATAGTGGAGAGGACAATGAAAGGACAGTGGATGCAATAATACATTCCGGGGGAATGATATGAGACGTTTCTTGCTCTAGTTTAGCCTCAGTATCAAACTGCCTGGACAAGGCGTCCGCTTTGACATTTTTAGAACCAGGTCTATAAGTGATAAGAAAATTAAAGCGAGAAAGAAATAGAGACCACCTAGCTTGTCTAGAAGATGATCGCTTGGCATCTCCTATGTAAGCCAGGTTTTTGTCACCACTCCTTGAGAGCTAGAATAATGGCCAACAATTCTCTATTGCCAATATCGTAATTGCGCTCAGCAGGAGACAACTTTCTAGAAAAGTAACCACAAGGTGTAACAGAGTTTCCCTTTGGGAGGGAACTGCCCCTACCCCTATCTCTGAAGCATCAACCTCCAGTATGAAAGGCTTACAGGTATCAGGATGTATCAATATGTCGGCGGAGGCAAACCGCTGTTTGAGAGTTTCAAAGGCTTCAATAGCCTCCTTAGACCATATCTTACTACTAGCCCCCTTGCGTGTCATATTGGTGATGGGGGCTATTACTGACGAAAATCCCTTTATAAACCTTCTGTAATAATTGGCAAAACCAATGACCCTTTGAATGGCTTTCAACCCAGTGGGTGATCCATCTGAAAGGCAACTTCTATCCTAAGTGACTCGGTCCAACTTAGGCGTTCTCTGGTCTCCGTTGCCGGCTGAATTCAGGTAAGAACGATAGAGCAAAAACGTACACAGTTTGCTTTTCCAAAGATCTTCAAATGTATTATGGAAAGGGTGTCATATTTATACAGTATTGATCATGAACTTTGACATACAACAGTGGTTATGGTGCTGCGGTCTTCTGTTCCTTTTCCCAACAGCTGAGCATAAGTGATTATAGCTGCAGCAGGGAGTAGAGGAATAGGATAGATGAATGCAGTTCCAAGATGATTCTTCCCAGCAAATAGAATATCCCCCAAACATGAGCCTAGACTTCATAAAGGGTGTAACAGGAATGGATTTTATTGACAACACACAGGCTTTTATGAGAAATCCTCCTGCAAAAGGACCGCCCACAACAAACAAAGACAACAGCCAATCAACGTACAGAATTACAGTAATACACGCCTCCTCTCTACCTGGGAGATATTGAGATAAGTTAAGGGATTATCTCCAGGCAGAGAGCACACAATTTCCCCGAAACTTAGAACACCCCTTTCCCCACAAGGTATCCCCACAAATTGCATATCCCCTGATAGCCCCGATCTGGGGGACAAACATATCCAAATTTCACCCAGATCGGTTCAGGGGTTCTTAAAAAGTATGGAGGGTGTTACAAAAGACTGGAGATCACCATGTTGCTGTTTTTACTCACTGATTGATACTGTTTGCCACTGCATAAGTTAAACAGAACACCACACGAATGGATTACACGAACCCTTAGGGAGGCTCCATTCGTGGTACGAACGGGGGACCCCCCAGAAACTGGCGTGTGCCGCCACTTAACCCCGTCACCCCGCAAACTACCGAACGGGCGGCCCCCCCGGCTCGCGGAGTGTGGTAGCCATTAACCACCCAGATGGCTGCGGTTTGCGGTTAACCACAATGTAATTGGTAGGCCCGAGGGCATCGACGTTCGCACCCAAAGTGCCGAAGGGAAAATACCGAACGATCCACCGAACGACGACCCCCTACAGCGGGTCGCGTGGCGCTCATTAACTGTGGTTTCTGCGGTTAACCGCAGGTCAAGTACCCTGCTCCCAGGTGGTCCTCATTCCCTTACCGAACGAGCCCACTACCAGCCCGACAGCGGGACTTCGTAGGAACTGATACCGAGTTTAGTTCCACGAGTTAGACACGAAGTCCCGCTGCTCGCTAAACCAGCAGAAAACATGGCCGCCAACAAAGACTAAACATCTCAAAATGCCGAACGGACTTTATACGGCAGAAACAGTACATTCTGTTCGTGGGATTAGAGCGGCATTCGCCTGGTTTATCTATACGAACGCGAGCCTTCAAATGAATGGTGGAATGAATGGTTTTCCTGTAATAATGTACAAGTTATGGATTTTTATGTAGTTTTCTGGGACATAATAAAACGTGGTCTTTTGTGCGCTTGGAGATAATTAGATTGTAAAACCGTTGGCCTCATTATCTCCTAGCTAGGCAGGTACTAATTCAAATAATACAGTGTACTGTGATTGGTTACCTGTTTGTACTGTACCTGTATTCCATCAGGTCCACAGGGGGCTGTCCTTGGACCTGAGGAATCACATAAATTGCCATGCTATGTGCCAGTAAAGCCAGTTCGGTTTTGACCCTCAACTTGCAGCCTCGACTCATGTTGTAGGGATCCGGGATATTGATGCTTATATCGTGCTTGGGGATATTCTACACTTACAGCCGAATACCGAAAGACCTCCGTTCGACTCTCTGCAGCGGGAACCAGGACATCCAAGCGATCAACCCCCCTGCTAGACCGGGGGCAATCGTAACAGAGGGTACCTTTTACCAACCACACACGTGGCTCCTGCCCAAAACAGTTTCATGAATTCAGCGTGTGCGGTCGGTCAATTCGGAAACAGGTACAAAACCGAACAAAGTCCCGAATGGATCTTCCTGGCTCATAGGAGCGATTGCTCCCCTTGTCTGTTCACACAGACCTACCGAATGGCGCTCTCCTGGCTGTTCAGGAAGTAAAGGAAGCCGGCGTTCGGTAGTTTCAGCGGTGGTTCGGGAGGTCGAGTGTCCGATTTTAGTTCCAGACACTCGACGACCAAGTCCCGCTGACTCCCCTCGTGCGAATAAGATGGCCGCCGTCTTCTATTCCACGTGGCGTTCAGCTATACGAACAGTGGCCGCCCAGGGAGCACTTAATAGATGGTTCCTTTGTAGTTAATGAGCCAGGAGGGGGGTCGGTGTTTGGTAGTTTCAAACTACTGAACCAATGTATGCAATATACATGTAATAAACAGGAAAAATACCGAACAAAGAAGAAAATGTCAAATAAAAGTCTATTTTCTTCACAACAAGTAAATATAATCCCTGAGTACATCGTTAATGAAATCTTGGAAAATCGCTGGAGCATTGCACAACCCGAATGGCATCACTAGATATTCATAGTGTCCACTTCTGGTATTACATGCAGTCTTCCACTTGTGGTTTTCCTTGATTCTCACTAAATTGTAAGCATTTCTAAGATCAAGCTTAGTAAACACTTTAGCACCCTGGAATCTGTCAAATAATTCAGCAATAAGAGGAATGGGGTAGACGTTTTTAATGGTGATTTTGTTCAATGCCCTGTAATCGATACATGGGCGCAACTCACCATCCTTTTTAGATACAAAAAAGAATCCTGCACCAGCAGGCGAGGATGATTTTCATATATGGCCTTTATTCAATGAATCTTTAATATATTCCTCCATTACTCTACTCTCCTGAGGTGCCAGAGCATAGACTGCTCCCTTAGGTGGCATAGTGCCGGATGGAACAGTCATATAGTCTGTGAGGAGGTAGAGTATTAGACTCAGTTTTGCTTAATACTTCTTTAATGTCTCGGTATTGTATAGGAATTTCAGGGTTTTGAGATGTAGTAGTGGGTAATTCAATAGTGCCCACTCTTTTGGTGACATTCAATATACACCTTTCATTACACTCCTTACCCCATTCTAATATTTCCCCATTAGCCCAGTCAATATGAGGGTAATGCTTGCTAAGCCATGGAAAGCATTATATAATAGGACAAGAAAGCGATGCAATCACCTGAAATATAATCTCTTCCTTATGTAAGGCACTAATGGGTAAGGTTTCGTGAGTAATTGATGGTTGTGAGAGCGGTCTCCCATCAATAGCTTCAACAGCAAGGGGTGATTGTCTATTATATTATCCTTGACATAGTGGACATCAATGAAATTTCCAGCAGCCCCTGAGTCCATCAGGGCTTTGCATGAATAGTTATTTTTGTCAAGAATAATTGAAATATCAATGAGAAGTCTATATTTATTCTTTTCAGAGGTCGTCTCCATTACACCTAAGACCTGTCTCCTTAAGGCGCTTAGGTGCGGTAGTTTCTTTGGACAAATGGGACAATTGTTTCTCATATGTCCATTACTACCGCAGTATAAACATAGACCTTTGTTTCTCCTATATTGTTTCTCGGCCTCTGACAGTCTAGTGACCCCCAACTGCATGGGTTCAGGTTCAGACTGTATAGGAAGGTCAGGAACAACAGGTTCGAAGAGACGGGGTGTTAAAGGCATAATCAAACATCTGGTCTTATTTCTAGTCTCTCTGGTTCTTAGTCTATTATCAATTTCCATAACAAATGTGATGAACTTGTTAAGTTTCTTGGGTAGATCTTTGGCAGCAATCTCATCTAGCATAGTGTCAGATAGTCCCTTTTTTTTTTTTTATTCTTTATTTTGTTGTGCAGTTGTTTACAAGTCGATTCACTGACCCCACAACAGAGTAAACTTTGACAATGCAGTGATAACAGTGGCATGAAAGACGTTTGCATATTTTTATATTATTAATACGCTTAAACATTCTAACAAGTTACAAGGTGAAGGATTGGGTAACAAGATATAGAGGGGATGCATGCGTGTAGGTTTATGTGAGTTTATTCAACATACAGGTGCTATCGCTGATTTACAAATTTAAATGACGAGTAAGACAAATGTGTGTTTTCAGGCTAGGGTGTGTAGACATTTTTGAGTATGACAAATAGTGTTAAGTTCTCTATCTTGTCCTGAGAGAGGTGTGTGGCGTGTTAACCTGTCTTGGTTTCGGTTGTATAGGCTGTGTGCCTGAGAGTAACCTCTATTGGGTAGGGAGTGATACATGAGGGGTTAACATGCTGTGCTATTCACATGGGCTTGAGCCCTCAAGGGTACTGAGTAGGGGTGTGCTAACTGGCTGACTAATTATTAACTTTGTCTTGAGTTATGAAAAATAAAAGAGCAGTAAGGAAGATAAACAAGAAAAGCAAAACAGTTTATTAGGAGCCATGGGTAATGGTTGTAGTCGTCTTCTCCTGGGGTAGTTGGAAGGGTCTCCCTCCCGGTTTGGCTTCATCCGATGCCCCTTCTGGAGTGCCTCTGGTGACTTGGGCATAAGTCCATCATATTCTGGGCCGGTTTGAGGACTGTGATGTTGTGTGTTGGTCTCCATATAACATACCCTCCACGTCGCAGTTGTGTCTTTACTCCACGTGGGGAGGGTCGGGGAGAGTATGTGACTGTGGCAAGTTCCTTTCGCTGGCTTCCCTCGGTTGCCGCTCGCAGCTGGTAGGTACAAGTGCTCTCGTGTGTGTAGCCGGTGGGTTGTCGGCTTTTTGGGGAACAGTTATAGGGTGCAGGGCCGGCGCTACCTGTTAGGCGGACTAGGCAGCCGCCTAGGGCGCCCCTTGGGAAGGGGCGCCGCCAGGAGCGCCGCCCCC